TCACCTTTTTATCATTATAGGAATAGCAAGTTCTGTAACAACAAAGTGTTTACAGTAAATTGCGATAAAAATTATGAAATCATGTGAGCAAGACAATTAGTGAGCAAAGATCTTTCACTATGCCACTTAGCAATAAATCTGGAAAAAGTATCTAGTTAGAGCATATTTACTTAGATACTTAAGGGTTTATATGGGTCAAAGGTAGTTTTTATTCAGAGATAATAATTGTAAGCAAACAGAGCTTATTTTACTTAGGGCCTTCACGGCCTTTATTTATAATAAAAGTTTTGGTATTACAATAAGTTCAATAAATGCGATATCGATATATCTGATATATTCAATATATCAGATATATTCGATATGTTTGATATATTTGATGTTTGATATATTTGATATATCAGATAAACGTGATAAATTGCATTTGACCCTGTGATTTTGGGTTACACTTGGCCGTAGTAGATGGATTAGATTTTGGGGCTTACATTTCTCCCCACTTAAAATCGAGTTTCACAAGATTTACTTTCAACAATAGTATAAGTCTCAGCATGTGGTAGATAGTTTCATTTGGATTAAATAGAACCAGGATCGAAGACTATAGTTCTATAGTAAGTATAAAGCGGCTCTGCTTGTTAGGTTCTTCATTATATATCGACTTCTGCTTGGTTTTTCTAATTTCACCTCCTTTTTATCTCTCTGCAGAAACATTTTCAGGTCGTGATCTTCACAACATATATGTCCAGCGATTTCTTCCTTTGTTTTACGTCTATTTTTATAGACTCTTGCATAACTTGACCGGGGCAGCATTAATCATAAGGGCTTTTTCAGGTATGACTTCGTCTGTTCATATTTTACTTTAAATTGCTTTCATAATTCGATGTCCTCTTCTATCGAGAAAAGTTTACCTTTTCAAAACTTAAGTTTATCAAGATTTTTCTTTTTAGTAGTTTTCGAGTCCTATTCTAATACTTTCTCTTTACTTTTTCTAATTACGATTCTACTTCATCAATTAAATCTACCTAGGTCAAATTTGCTAGTTTCATTGCCATTTACAGCACACTTCACATACCTATTTCAGCAATAGCATACAGTACAATGTTTATCGTTCCTTTGTGTCACTGATATTAGCAGATGCCTGATAACAACTAATTTCTTCATTTTCATTAGACTCGATTTTGATTCCTTTTCGACCACTACTATTCATCATATCTTCAGCTTCAGTAGGTTTCAGTTGGGTAAGTTCTTTTACTTCGCTTGTAGTCTTCTAAAATTCATCAATTTTTTTCATTCACAATTCGTAGGCATAATCTATTATCTCTTTATTGATAAGTTCCATTACATTATCTTTATCCTCTTCAACAATCATTTTGCTATCACCATAATTTGCAACCTCAGGTTCATTTTCTTCGACTGTCTTCTGATAATTAATTGCCTTATTGTATCCAATTTTGTTCTAAAAATAGTCTCCAACATTCGCATATCTTCAGGCCTTGTGATATATTTTTCATCCTTTTTTCTTCTTCTGATCCTATTCATTCAAGTCAAGTTTTGAGAACATTGGCTTGGAGTTCTTGCAGGATGCATTTTACATTTCGACTAACTACTAATAACCTTTTCATCAGGTGCATCTACAATACTTTGACTGCCTATCCTAAAGTTGTATTGCACATTCGGATTAGAAGTTTTTAAACTCTATTCAAGATCGAATGGGTCTTTGATTTTCTTATTTTCATCTTTTTTAGCTCTATTTCTGATTTGGCAGCAACATTCTCGGGATTCAATTCTGTCAGCACAACTATTCTCATCAGTCCTCGTATAAGTTCTTTTCAACTTTTATTCATTCATTCTTAGCTCACTCAGCAATATTTTCTTTTGAGGTTATATATATGTCTTCTTTTTCCTTTCTCAAGGCCCACTTCTGCACAATAGTTTCACATTCGGCATATAATTATTGGAGGATATATTCTAAGTCAAATTTTCTTCTTTCAAAACCAAGCTCAGTATTATTTAAAAGTTCTTCTAGAACATAGTAAGTGTCGAGGACTTCAGCTACAGTGGGTCTTTTCTGCCAGGGATTTATTGTAGGGACTTTCGGGGCGCTCACGAGGCTCTTGTGTATATAGGCAACAGCAATAGAGGGCTTTAATGTTGGGGAATTTTTAAGACAAGTTGGGCAGGGATACTTGCAGGGAACAGGTTTGGTGGGCAAATTTGGGTATAGTGTTCCGAAATTGGGTTTGGTTCAGTTCGGGTGAACCCGAACCCGAACTTTAAATTTTATAGATCTTCGAACTCGAACCCAGACTGAACTTAAAATTTATGAACCCAAACCGAACTTGAACTTGAAATATTTGTTCAGTCTGAGTATAGTTCGAAGTTCATAAACATGTTCGGGTTTGGGTAATAATTAAACCTAAAAATACTAGGGTAGCTGTGCAATGTGTGACCTTGCACAGGACTAGTATGATCATTTGCAACTCGCATGCTATAGATAAATTCTATTTTATCAGTTAGTCTTACTAATTTTTTTTTAAAAAAAAACTCCTGCCAAATCCAAATCTAGTAAAAATAAGTTATAAAATTGAAGGCTTGAAGTATAATTTACTCCTCTCATTTATGATAGTTCATTAATCGGAAATAGCAATTTTATTATTTAAATTTTTTTTTAATATAAACTTGCTATTTTGGTGACTATAGTATTGGTTAGGTTGAGGTAGGTTGCATTGGAATTGTCTTGTATTTTCTATGTGATTGAGTTTGTTTGCATCAGAATCATAATTTTTATCGCAATTTACTGTAAACACTTTGTTGTTACAGAACTTGCTATTCCTATAATGATAAAAAGGTGA